GTAAAAGCTGCCAACGAATATCACAAAATGTCTAATTCTTCCCAAATATGGTTAATTGAATAAGGAACATTCAAACACTTCAGAATTTTCACAGGATATTTTTATGAAACGACACAGCATGATTGTTTTACATTGAGTTTAAAAGCCAATATATACGGGTTGATTCAGAATTCGATGTAAATATTCCAAGAATTTTATTGTTGGGATCTAAATTAAACTTCCTTCTTCATATAAACATGGTGTCCTAAAATGTACTCCCTCCAAGCTACAGCCCCTGTTAGTCAACTTAACGATTATCTAAAATTGTGACTCAAATAACAGATCAAATCTTCTGTAAATTGGTAAGAAAAATCGACCACCAAAAAAATTGGAAAAATTGTCGCCCTGTTACTTTTTAAAATCTCTTCGGATTTTGATGAAATTATGTCCAAATCTTTGTGTCATCCAGATCCACAACGGATTGTATAACCATTTTATAGCTACCCTTTGAATTATACTGACACGAAATGTCACAATTTCAACAAAATTTGAGTTCTTGATGAAACAAATTGTACATTTCTATTTTGACGAAAAGCTTCACTCAATTTCAACATGTATATGTGCTAAGAAAATGACATAGGAATGAGTAATTGATTACTTGAGCTGATAATCAATAAGTTTATGTAGGTTCTGATCATTGTTAATAAAAATTGAAAAATGCCATACTCTCTTAAATCAGTCGTATCTCATCTCAAAAATAAGACATTGACGTGAATCAAAAACTATTGTTTTAAAAGGGATAACACTTCAATCCAAAGCATGATGGAGCCAATTCAATCACTCAATTTCGCCACAGGGTGTCAAGAAGTAAAGTGTGAAAGAGTAACTTTGGTTTTTCCCTGTATAATGATCAAGTCATCAGCTTCTTACAGAAACAAATATTCAGGCTTACATTCTGGAACATGAATCCACAAGGATTTGGAAAGTTACAGGGTGAACTATTCGGACAAATTTTTTGGTGGCCGTTTTTTTGCCAGTGAGTGTATTTATTGTTTGATGTTTCCAGAAATGGGCCTACGTGTTATTGCCTTATTTGATAATCCAGGGAATTGAACTGTTCGAATTGCTATTTCTGCTGATATTTGGATCTACTGTACTTTCTGCTGTTGATGTTCCAGGAACTTATTGGTTGTTGGTTTTAACTATTTTTAGTGTATTAGGTAAGAGTTCATTCATTTATTTTTCAATTTACTCATTATTTTTGTGTCATATAGTCTTATGTTGGATACAGAGAAGACAAAAATAGTTGGTACATCGGGTTTCGCTAAAAAATTGAGAAATCGGTAAGAATTTGACATCCGAAGTAACTTGTTCGAATGCCATAATCCACTGAGCCTCAAGAGTTTAGCAAGTACAAATCAAAGCCACCTTGCTACTAGTGGTACACATGGTTGAATAGATAATTGAGAGAATATTAAGGAATTATAACTATACGGAAAATAAAAAATGTTTGGACTTTCAATCAAACAGAAAGTAGTGAGTGGAACATTTTCGAGGGTACTGTTGAAAGAATCGCCATCATCGATTAGGTTGGAATAGATATAGTCTAAGAGCCAGTGATCGGCAGACTTACGGTATGTTCTATTGTTGCTGCCGTAAGTGAAATGGGGATTGACTAAAATTGTTTCAAAAATCGTCTGCTCCCATGATGGAACAGACCTATTTGTCTGCTTCTACAAATGTATATGTTAAATATCAATATGAATATCGCATAAAAATTTCATCTTTGCTGAAATAACGTGAATGTTTATGAAATTTTCGAAGTTTTGGGATTTTATAAAACATACTTGAAACCGGAATAAGTGTCTGCCATTGAACTTTTCGATAGAAAAAATTATAAACTGAAGGGTTTTAGCAGGGCAGACATACTGCAATCACGTTTTTGAACAATTTTTCGACGTTTTTTGACCTCCTGTATACGTCCAAAGGTACCGTCGACGGGTAGGTGAAATAGTATCTAGCATCAATATGAAGTTTGATAACATACTGTAAGTCTGCCTATCACTGGCTCTCAGTCTAATAATACAGTTAATAGGTTGGTAACCTCTGTGAATTTCGATTTCTATGTCAATGAATGAAAAAATTACAAGCTGTTGTGTCATCTGCCATGTATTGTTAAATTCCGAGTTGAATTCGAAGTATTAATAATAATTCTAAATCATCTCCACAACTTTAATGAAGTTTGCTGGAAAAGGGCTACATCGAATTGGGTCATTTTACGTTCTCAACCAACCGAAGTTGAATAGGAAAAGTTCTACATCAAATTCCACTATAAGTACTCATTGGGTTTTCAATACCATATATGAAGATCAACTCAAGTATTTTACGAAATGTCAAATGATACATAGGTATAAATGGAGGTTAAAGAAAAAAAAGGCATGTACCTACATGTCTAGCTACTTTTTATAGGACGAGAGTTGAAGAAAACTATTGAGAGAAAAATAGATTGCCTGCTTCCATGTGGAATAATTTTCTTCTTTTTCAGTAATACAAGGTTGTCTCTGTTACCAAACTGCTAGACTGTTCAGAGATATGGAAATGGCCACCGCATTGCAAAAACTTCAGGAACATACAGATGTACAAAAACTTCAAGGAACTAATCTCAATAAAGAAATAAGAAATTGATAATGGATATATGTTCTTTTACTCTTCGAATATTCAAACTATTGGGATGATACATGATGATGACAATGATGTAGTCTTGTTTTCGTCATCTATAGTGATATAAGTTCGTAGGTAGGATGTCAAAAATCACTTATTCCATCTTTAAAAGAGTCATTTTTTACCAGAAAGTCATTTCGGTCATTTTATCATACCAGATAGCACAATGTCATTCATAGATCGTCCATAGAATATTCTTAGACAATATTTGAATGATCTCAGGATATTCTCACAATGTGATACAAAAAATATTCTAGGTACGTTCTATGAACATTCGGAATGTACTGTATCAAATATTCTGAGAATATTCTTTCTCCTCATTAGTTTTTCTTGGTTCACTGACTCCTTGCGGTGTCAATTTCCCCAGATACGGTAAGTCTAAGAATATTCCTTGCTCCGGTGAAGATGCGAACCTACTATTTTGTGAGTGAATTTTTACTTGAAAACTTACCATTTCATCACGAGCCGTATTGATAAATAAAATTAATAGTAAGATGACAACACTGTATTAGTGGAATAATCAGCATTGAGGCTGGAGAATAATGGGTTGTGTCTGGGTCAACATCATAAATATTGATAGAAACATAATTATCATATATTCTGATACAATTCTCAATATTCTCAGAACATTCAGAAAGAATATTCTGAGAATATCTCAAATAGTATAATGTTAATAGAATATTGTTTGCAGAAGGAGAATATTCTATGATCATTCCAAGAACATTCTATGAGAATATTCTAAAATAAGTATATTTGATCGTTGTCAGAATATTCATAGATTAATCTGTGCTGGGGTGTTATCTAGTGGTGTGCTACAGGAGGTTGTGGAATCTTTCCCTTCCATATATTCTCTACCCTGTAAATAGTATGGCTCCCAAAAGATGATCAATGTTATGTGCTCTGATGCTGATGAAATTTCGATTACTTTGAATTCATCGAATTTCGTTAGTACATGTTAGTATAATCTATGATATAATTGACTAATGAATCAATAAGTATGAATCAATTGGTATGAATTCAAATTTTGTGAAACTCCGTTCAACTTTATGGGAAGGAATAGTTCTTTCATTTCAATTTGTAATAATTTTATTTTGGGTTCAAATTACATTGGCACCTGGAAAAAGCTACCATTTTACTTACAGAAAAAATATGTACACAACTCATTTCGAATTAAGTCTTTTATTGCACTTGACTAAACGAATAAAAAATGTGTTATAGTGTGACATTTGCGATACATGAATATAATGTTAACATGTAGGTTTCTTTCAACTATGTGTGATTTAAATGTTGTTTATTCTTATTTACTTTATGACTATTTATTACTATATGGCTTCATCATATTTATAAATATTCGAGTCTTTTTTCTTTGGCGTATTTTTCCTTCAACACAAATCGATAATCTAGATCAGTAAAATAATGAGATGAACATTCTAACCTGATTCTATAGCATTAGGATTGATGGGATGAAAAAAATCTTACATACAAAGTTCTTTCCTCCTATAATGCGTCACACTTTTCCAATTTCTTTTAAAATTCAATGAATTTGTTGAAAATGTACGTTAGTAGATAAAAAGTTTGTGTGGCCCTTTCATCAAATTTTATGTTTTCGAAGCACTGAAACTTAGGAAGAGTTACATTTACAAATGAATAATGAAATCTTGAGTTGGTATTATAAAGAATGAATGTAACAGAATATTCTCAAATAAATCGTCATTAGTTATTATTCTTCATTTTTGTTAGTATATACAACCACCTGTGTTTTGAGTAGTCTCGAACAGTGCAAAATTTCACTAATTTTTAAAATTCTCGATCAATATTCACTGTGTGATAATAACGTAAAGTGCCAAAATTTTACTAGAATAAATAATCTCTTTTTGATATAATTCTCGTCCAATCTCTTTGTTTTCATAAAGTGTTGATTTCAAGCATGGATATGAAATATATCACTTGACCATTTTCCTCGATCAAATTGCAGAACAAGAACAATTGTTTCGTGGAATCACCTGATAAAACACAAACAAAATACGAATGAACAGTGATACGGATATCACTCCGTAAAAACATCATATGATCATTGAATTTGTGCAACTTCCATACATGATGATTCCAGAAACGAAGGTTCTTCAATCCATCCCAAGTCATGAAATACAGACACTTTATGAAACCTATCCTTCACTCCATATCTTTATTGTTAAACATCTAACATTCAACAATGAAAAAATAACAATCCAGTATCGTGATATGAGGTTACTGAGTGCGCAAATTCTTCAACATACAGACTGCAATCTCATCTCAGTAGGTCACAGTATGTCTGTCTCATACACCTTATTGGTCTGAGTATTATTAGCAGTGTTATTCTTATTCTGCTCATCTATGTTATTCGACAAGCTGGAAGAATCGATGGGGTTCGAATTGGTGTTCGTTAAAGCGATTTTCGTGGTATTGGGCAGATTCGTTAGGGACCCAGTCATCTGTGAGGTACTAAGCTGGAGGCCCATCTTCTGCAAGAGATTAGATTCGCTTCCAGTTTTCTTCAGCAACTGGTCAGGCGGCGGAGGAATCACCGCCAAAGTGTTGTTACCTCGCTGTAACTGTTGCAGCCTAGCATACTGCTCTTGCAGAGCCTTTTGCTTCTTTAGCAGCTCTTGGTGCCTGTGCTCCAGTTCTTCCTTCCTAGTTTTCTTCGAGCCGTCCTGGGAATTGACGCTCTCGCAACTGCTGCTGTTGCTGGCAGAAATAACTTCAGCTGGTTCTGGTAGTTGTAGGTTAGAGCCTATATTTCTCGGAAGGGTTTGAGACTTGGTGGGGTCTTTGATGCTAGATCTATTGGGGATATTCCTGCGCAAAGTTTGAAGGCCTAGGTTCTGGGTAGCTTGCTCGAACTGTGACAAGGGCTTTTCTATCATATTCTGCACGTTCTGGATATGTTGTAAGCCAGCCGCTGGAGACTTGCGTGGTAAGTTGGGAGACGTCGGCGAGGCTAAGGGAGACTTCGAGCTGGTTCTCGGGGGAGGAGGGGGCGGTACTCTCTTCCCGACCACTTGGCTCAACAGTTCTTGGTTCCTCTCTGGCAAAGGCGGCTTGGCAGTAGTCTTGCAGTCCCTTTGCAGGGGCTGGATAGGAGGACTGTTGTCGGTGTCGGAACCGCTGGGATACGAATGCAGCCTTCTCAAGCTGCCGGTGGAGGTGCTGACTGATAGGTTGTGGCTGGTGAGGAGAGACGCAGAGTCCATGCTGCCCTTTCGACCGATGTCTGCGATTTGGGGAGGCCGGGTGCCCTTTGCGGGCAGTGAGGGCGCCTCGGAACTGGAGGAGTCTTGGGATTGAGCAACTGGGTGAGGTTTGGAGAAGGTTTGGAGTTCGTCTAGCAGAGCGTCGAGTGCGTTCTCCGGACGTTGGGTACTGTCGGTGGGGCTGCTGTCTCCCCCGACGAGGATCTGCCCCATACGTGGAGAGGTAGGGGGCTGCAAAAGTTAACGAGAGGTTGCCATTTTTGGGAGCACTAGATGAATGGATGGATTTTTCGGTACCGCTATCACATTTATTATTTTTGTACATCCAGAAGAAACATACACCTATTTTGCAAGTCACTAGACATACATCGAAATTATATGCGTTGAAAAACTGTTGTATTTCTAGTCATGATAAATTATTTATCTCTAAATCAACTGAAATTTGTTGGTCTGGGCATAGTCGTTAATCTATGGTCTGGGCATTCAGGCGTTGAAGGATCCAAAGACATCAATGAATATAATATACAAGAATGCCAAGAATTATTCATATATTGGGTTCTTCTTTGACTTACTTTTGATGTTGAATTGGAGAAAAAAATCACAGAAATAAGAAAATACCTATTATATTTTTCAATAATCTGCCGTTTGTGATGGTACCTCTTACCATTTTATCATTACTAAAAGCTATTCGGATTTGAGAAGACTCCTTGATATCAGCCACAGCAAGAATATCATTCTATTTTCGTAGATCACAACACAAATCACAGCGAATAAGAGTGACTAAAAGTTTGAGAAAAGGTTTTCTCGTTGATCCATCACACTCAATGCAAAGTTGAATAGAATAAGTGTGTATATACTTATATATAGCTTTTATTCAAATCTATAGTAATTGACAATTCATCCAGGATTGATCACTCAGCTGGGAGGCCTTTTGGAACCAAGAAACAAAGAGAACTGGTGATCCTAGCTGTTATTTTTTCTCATGATTTTCGTATATATTTTCGAGTATATTCTCTGATTTCTGAATGTATCAGAATAATTGACCTTATACAGGGTGGCTCGAAATACGTGCAAATATTTCAAACACTGAGGAAGATCGACGTGTACTATCGAATGGCACTAATAGAAAGAATTAGGGATCGAAATAAAATTTGAGGTTAGACCCCTTTTTCTACACAAAGTTCTAAACTGTAGCAAATCTGACGTCACCTCTGTTAAAATGTCCATGCGGTAGGCACAATCACGCGGAGTTTATTCATTTAAAATGTTTCACAGTGGCGTACTTGTTTTTTTTTCGTATTTTGTTCAATTTTAGGGATTAAATTTCTCGTTAATTAGAATAATTAGAAAAAATCTCATATCATGGAAATATTCCTTAGACTGTATCATATCAATGTGCTGAATATATGCACTTATTTTGAAAAGTAGGTATATTATCCAAATTTTATAGACAACTTCAAATATTTATTGTATGCGTATAAAAAAAATCGAAATTATATTTGAATCAATGACACATTATCTATGTACAAGATTTTAGTAGCTATCACAGATACTGTCGAATTTGACTATAAGTTAATCCATTTCTGTTCATTGCTTGAAGTCGGTGTCTACGAAAGAATTCTGAAAAATTCTGTTTCAATTTCATTAAATCGTGAGATGGAGCAACCCAAGTGATATTTATTGGTAATTTATTCAAAATGAAGTTTTTTCTGGATGTATCATTCTGATCAGAGACATATATAACATATTTTCCATTGGAAAATACGAATGTAGGTTTAGGCAGTTGAAAAATTTAAATTTTGAGCCATTCAATCAATAAGACCTGCCATAATCTTTCATAATCATGAAACTATCAGGATATATTGTGATATGATGATGATGGTGCTGCGAAACACAATAACAATAATGAGATGATACCTAGTAAATACACAGGAAGTGAGCACAGCTCCTTAATTATTATGAGTGTCATATCAAAATATTCTCGAATTACCTCATCAAAAAAACATTAATTGGTGCAAAAATGAACATCAACTACTGAACACTTGGTGAGTCCAACTGAAGCAACTAAAAAAACAAAAAAAAAAACATTATTCACAATTCAACAATAATTTGAAATCAATAAAAGAGGTGTTAAAACGTGCAACATCAATCAAATTCCATTAATTAGAGCAAGAATACGATGGATGCAATTATAAATTATATAGTTATTGTCATACAAGATTTTCTTCAAACTCCCAAGATTGGAATAAAACATTCTCAATATTGAATATTGATGATTGACATTGAAAACAGAAACGAAGACTACTTTGTTATATCGTTGATTGGTGGTTGATTGATATATTACATTTACGTAAGCGGATAAGCGTAATAATGAATCAATCATCGGTTATACTATGTGAACAACCCCACAATGTACCTTTGCCTTCGTGGATGAAAACAGAATGATGGATTATCAACGGGTAAAAAGTGTCCCTTTTTTACCATGCACACGTGCCCAAATATATGTTTCTCGTTTTTATGATCAAATTTCATTCTTATAGTGAAACGATATTAAACCATGATACTATACAGGGTGAATCCCAAATGTTGAGTGCATTTCTGAGATTAACAACGATGAAAACCTTCGAGAGCTATGTTTATTCATTCTGAACGTTTTTTCTGCTGAAACAAATGCCATGCAGGAGTAGAAAATAGAGCGAACACATCAATAAGAGAACAAAATGATGTCCCTATTCAATCATGCGACAAAGATATATCAAATTAATTACACATATACCATATGTACAGGCCAATGATCAACTGAAAAAACGGTAAATGAGATGAGGTTGATTGAATCACATATATTTTGCCTTTCATATCGGTGCCCATGGAAATACTATATCAACGTCCGATTGACAGTTGCCTTTTCCACAGTTTAAGCAATAATACTATCATTCCTTTTCCCAGGAGCCAATCCACCTTCTGAAATACAAACCGTTATTTTTTCTAAATGAATGTTGCTCGTTCTCGTTTTTTCGAATTCATTTTTGAATCATACCCAATAGGAGCTACAGGGGGTCAAAGATAAATTATTTTTTTTATTAATTGAAATAACTCGCTTACTTTTCAAGATATCATTTTAAAATTTGGTGTGGTCGATACTATTCAGAATATCATCATCTCAAGACATTTTGAGATTTTCAAAATCTACAGGGTGATACGGTTTTGGGGGCTGAGGCTTCTTTATCCCCCCCAAACTTTTTCGTAGTACGCCTGGCATCTTCTTGTGATCAAATTGTGTGGAACGTTCAATTCAGAGGCTTTTTTGTTTGTCAATTCTTTTCGAGAAACGAACTGTTTTTGAGATAATTGAGCATATACGTTCTGAAACATGTAGCTTTTGCCTATGTTTCGCTTAAATTTCATTTAACAGAAAAAAAACTCGACTTTCTACCCTCCGTATTCCCGTAACTGATCCAGATTGGACTAGTGATTACAATTTTAGTGAGTACATTTCATTGTATTCTCAACGAATTTTGTCAAAGAATAAAATTTAAGCGAAACAAAGGCAAAATTAACATGTCACATGTCTCAGAACGTATATGCTCATTTATCTCAAAAACGGTTCGTTTTCTCGAAAAGAATTTAGAAGCAAAAAAGCCTCTGAATTGACCGATCCACACAATTTGATCAGTGAAAGATGCCATAGGCGTACGACGAAAAAGTTTGGGGGGGATGAAGAAGCCTCTACCTACAAAAACCTATCACCCTGTAGATTTTGAAAATCTTCAAATAGCTTGAAATAATGATCTTCTAGGAAGTATTGACCACACCAAATTTCACAATGAAATGTCAAGAAGTAAGCGAGATATTTCAATTAATAGAACAAAATTATTGAACTTTGACTCCCTGTAGCTCCGCTTCTGGACGAGATCGGTGGATCGGACTAATGTTTATATGAACTCATCCGATTGAAATGATGAAATCTATCGCCCATTACAGTTTGTGCCTCAAAACCTGAATCACCCTGTATAACGAAAACAGGCTGCAATGAATCGACAAATTTCGTTTAATTCAATCAATCTCGTATCATTCAACATTTTCTAGATGATAATACTATTGGTATAGGTTGGTCATAAAAAAATACGGCCTGTATATATAAGCATCACACATGCACTGTCAAAAATAAAACTTTCCCTTATAGTAAGGTTAGAGTCGGCCAATCGAAAATTCTGTCAACTACCCAAACAACCTTTTGATACAAGGTTAGTAAAGCAGATAAGCTACATTCTAAGCTACTAAGGCACCTTTACAAGTACATTCATTGATACAGGGTCAGCCAAATATACTATTCATGTGGCTATATATGAGTGGTTCAAGAATGCTTTCTACGCAGGTATATGTATACGCAAGTCTACCATAATATACAAATGTACTAGTAAAGTTCAGTTACATGATTATCAAGCGTTGAAAAACTTAAACATAATTAGAATTGTAAAAAAATGTACGAGATAAAGCTATTTTGTCGATTATTGAGTTCACAGTACAAGCTAACTCCTCTTAGGTAGCAGGGGTCAGATGAAGTTTGACATTTCCAATGACACCTTACTATAAGGAAAAGGTACATCACATTTTCAGACCTCTTCATAAAATCTGAATTCAGTTATTTTCGCTATAATTCATTGGTCGATGGAACACTGATTTTTTCAAATTCATTGAAACACAAGTCATGCATTTAGGATTCGATTTTGAAAAAAACTAATATATCCACGAACAAATTATTAATACCTAGAGCACTGAATAACATAAAGAGATTATCTAATCGGGAATATTTTAAGAAAAAGTCATAGTCATACAGAATATATAGGAGGTCAAAAAAACTAATGTAGTTGATGTATAAGTATAGCCTTGTAGCCTTGAAAAACATCATTCAGGGTATCCCAAAATTGCTGGAACACAGAACTATCACGTGTGAAACAGTTCAAAATGAATTGATTAGACTCAACTTATTTATACAAAAAAATTCACCTTTTTTTCGTGAGACGAGTTCGTAGTTTACATATAAAATAACAAGTTTTTGTATGCTTTTAAAAAGCGAGAAAAATAAAATGGGATGAAATTTGACAAAAGTGCATTTTAGAGGATTACCCTCCTTTCAGTAATCAAAGAAACCCGAAAGAAATTGTAGAAGGGTTAAAACCACCCTCACCCCCTGAAATTCTTTTCAGAACATT